CTAGCCTCAGAAATGCTGGCAGCCACAAGTTGCTGGAAAAGGCAAGGGTGGATCCTCCCCTATTACCTCTGGAGAAAGCAAAGTCTTGATTTTGGCCCAGTAATTTCTGAACTTCTGGCCTCCAGAAATACGAGAAAATAAATTTCAATTGTTTTAAGCCACCAAATTTGTGGTAATTAATTATAGTGGCCACAGGAAACTAATATGCTGACAAAAACTTTCAGTGATTTATTTATCACTGACTGAAATTAATATTCTTTGGGCTTCCATTATCAGTCACAATTTTGAACTGATATAAACTTTATATTTTATTCCAAGAATTGGTAAATTATTTGTGGAATAGACCAGATCAGAAATATCTTTAGCTTTATTGGCCTCAGTTTCTTTGTCAAAGCTGTTCAACTCTGCCTCTGTAGCATGCAAGCAGTCATAGACAATATGAAAGTGAGTGGATGTGGCTGTGTAACAATAAAACTTTATTTATAAAGACAGACAGTGATCTGAATTTGGCCCGCAGGGAATAATTACTGACCCTGTTCTACATCAGATACTTGTTTTTTTCTTGCCTAACAATTCTTCTTCTGTCTCATATCATAAAATGATTATGTAGTATTCATTCTTGTACCAGTCATAGAGAATATAAATTGTACATTTATGGAATTAACTACAAGTACCAAATCTGTTATAACTTGTTATTACAATAGATATCACCAGCAGCCCTCATTTGAAATAACACACTATTTTCTTCAGCAAATTTTTTAAAAAGTTAGGTAATTTTCATAATTTCCTTCATACCCACTGTTTTGGCACTGCTATAGGCACCATTGAATTCTGATAACATGATGAGCTAAGTGCAGGTTAAAGGTAAGTAAAAAGTAGAAGGAATAGACAATACTTATTTCCTAAGAGAAGCCCTTTGTACTTGCAGACTGAAGTACAAAATGGACCAATCTTATAATATGGAGATTGAGAAATTTGGGATAAATTCTCTGTTCCATGCCAAAATTTGCATTACACAAATATTGACAGGACTTAATAACATAAAATATTTCTCAAGATTTAATTGATTCACAGATCGTTCAATTGTTTGAGCAGTTAGTGGGTAGCTACAGAACTATTTAACTGCTTCCTTGGTAAAAGAGGCATGTTGACCTCAAAAATATTTGGAAGTATTATCTCTTTTCAATTTTTTTTTTTAATTCCTGCCCACTGTGTCTATGCAAGTGTACTTTACTTTTCTGTCCCTTTTCCTAATAAACCTGCCCTTCAAATATAACTACCATTTCTGTCTCATGGAGAAACTCGCTGGGAAACTTGCCACGTATCGCTGAAAGGTAAGCTCTGGTGAAACCTTTCCCAGAGTGAACCCAAGGACCCTGCACTGCAAACCCACAGACTCCAAAAAACACAACATAAGGACACCAAAAGGATTAGGGCTCACCACGATGAACTCATTGGATTTTAATTACCTCTTTGAAGAGCCTATTTCCAAGTACATTCTGGGGTACAGCGTTCCTATTTGGTATGATTGGTAGGTTAACTTTTGGGCCTAAAAACATTCAATAATTATTCCATATAAATTAATGGTAATAGCATTCATGATGCAAAATTTAATTCATTGCAGTATTACTTAAAATATCACAAGATTAGGGAAAAAATGTCCATTTTAAGACAGTAGTGAAATTAATTACTTTCTTTTTTTTTAATTAACTTTCTTTTTTTTTTGACTTGAATATTATCATGGTTTTATTTATTTTTTTTAAATAATAAATTTTATTTTTATATTCCCCATACAATTGCAACCCCCCCATTCTGACCCCAATCCCTCCCCTCCTGCCCCCCACCCCCCAAAAAGTGTCTCTGGTTCATAGTTTTTTATTGATTTTGATTTTCACTTTCTTATAGCTATTCATTTTCCTGGTCCCTTATTTAAGTTTTCTAGATTCCTGCTATGAGTGAGACCATCCGGTATTTTTCTTTTTCTTTTTGGCTTATTTCGCTGAGCATGATCCCTTCCAGCGCCATCCATGTTGCTTCAAATTGCATGTGTTTATCTTTTTTGAATGCTGAGTAATATTCCATGGTATATATCTACCACATCTTCTTGATCCAGTCATCTATTTTTGGGCATTTGGGCTGTTTCCAAAGCTTAGCTATTGTAAATAGTGCTGCTATAAACATAGGGATGCAGGTGTTCTTTGGAATTGATGTTTCTGTGTCCTTTGGGTAAATACCTAGGAGTCAAAAAATGGGCAGAAAAGCTAAAAAGAAACTTCTCTGAAGAGGAAATGCAAATGGCCAACAGGCATATGAAAAAATGTTCAACATCACTTGTAATCAGGGAAATGCAAATCAAAACTACCATGAGATACCATCTCACACCAGTGAGAATGGCACATATTAAAAAAACTAGCAACAAATGTTGGCAAGGGTGTGGAGAAAAAGGAACTCTTCTGCACTGTTGGTGGGAATGCAAACTGGTCCAACCACTATGGAGAGCTGTGTGGAGATTTCTGGACCTACTAAACATAGAGCTTCCATATGATCTTTTCAATTTTTTTAAGGAGTATGAGAAGGATGCTAATAGTTTGTCTCTGACATCTGTCACAGCTAAACTGTGATATATTATGGAAACCATGAATACGGTTGCCCTAACCCTTTCTTGTTATTTCCTGCTCCAAAACAGGCAACAAAGACATCCATGTGGAAATCATTTTGCAGACAGGAACTATTCCAGTCTTGAAACACCTACATTTTCTACTTCAGTAATTACACAGATAAACCTGACATTTTTTAGCATGCTATGACCAGTGGGGATTAGATGCATGGGCTACAGGAAGATTGCAAATATTTTAGATATCACATAAAAAGCAATGATCTACAGGAAGGTGCAAATTTTAGTTCAGACAAAAGAAAGGGGGAGGAACTCTTCAGAAAGATGGGGATTTTTTTTTTAGCAATAAAACTAAAAATAAGGGAGATGGAAATGATGTGCTGTTATGGGCTTAGCAGTTTACTCTCTGGTGGGAAGTATGGTACAAGAGCACTGATTTATAGCATATGCTAATTTTGTGATATGTATACAGGGTGGCTGAAATTTAAGCTATCAGTGTGATGCCACCGGATTTAGAATAGGAGAGGGATGTGGACAGTTGGTGCTCAATGATCCAGCATACCACTGACCATTACCCATCAATACATAAAGTCCGGTTCTGTTTGTCATAAACTCCCTAGACAATACAGGATCATCATGCAAAAAATCATTGCATAAACTAAGATTCTCCATTATATTTCTCAATTAGAAACTATCAAGACAATTGATTAACATGCTTACAAATAATTTTGGCAAAATCATTTTGCTCATTTTTCTTTCTCCTCAAGCATTATTGAAGTAAGGAAGATGGGTTACACTCAACTGAAAATTTACTGCCACATTTTTAGACATGTTTTAAAACCCTGTCTCATGTATCATCATTATCATTTCCATCTCTATCAGTATGAAATGTTATAATCATTATAACAAAAATAATTAGAAAAGATACCAAGGCTGTGAAATGTGGCCATGATCATGCAAGTTATATTCTATATGAATGGCACTCACCAGAGCTGGATGGCACACAAACTAGTGTTTATCATTTTTCAAAGTGGAAAGAGATATTTGTTAAATGGGTTATCAACATTATGTAGCAGGTAGTAGGAAAGCAATCAGGCATTTTATTCTTTTCATTTGTTTCTCTTTTGAAAGGATTTTAAAGTTGTATATGTAGGACCGGAAACGATTTAAAATTGGTAAACATACTGTTTACGCACGATTTATTAATATTTAGTGTAATTTTAGATAAGCCATTATTTTGAAAAGAGTAAAATTGAGCCTATCACTTAATATCATTCACAGTTTAAGTTTATGGAAAATTTAAATTTTTTATTATCAGTGTGCCCTAATATTGCTACCATTCATTTAGCACAGAATTTGTATGGCTTTTAAGGTAAGTGGTGAGTATTTTTAAGCTATTTAATCAAAGAAAACAGGACCTCAGAAATCTATTAATCTTTTTGTTACACAGAAACTATGTTAACAGAAAGGACTTTTTTCTCTTCTTTATAAATTTCACTGATTCCGACTATAGTTGCCTACATCAATTATAACATCAAGCTGTTCAAGTGGGGTTACTGCACTTTTCTATCTTTTCTACTTTATGAAGCTAAGGTTCTGAATGAAAGGGTATGTGTTCTAATGGAATTGTCCCCTGGGGCACATCAAGTCATTTTATACAGTGACACACTAAGAAAGGCAATTTATGATGTGTGACTGACTCTAATGCGACTTTTTCATCATTTCATTTGTTTTCCATTAGACAGAAAAAGACATATGAACTACATAGAAATCTTTTTTATTGTACTCCACAGGGGTTTTCTAGTATATTAGAATTTTGGTAGATGACAATATTTTATAAAATTTATGAAAAAATAGATGTTTAAAAACTTTATTTTTCACCTTCAAATCTCTAGCAAAAATTTCTAAAACATTCCTAAAGGGCATTTAAATTTAAATTATTTGCAAGTTACTTATAACATATTTTTACAGAAAAATATTTGCTTCAAACTTTAAGCAATATTGTTAAACAATTTTCAGTGACTATTAATCTGGTTTCTGAAACCTTTGTGATTCCAATATAAGTCAAATGTAAGCAGAGGCGATGACCAATTTGTATTTAAATCAATGAAACTTCTTTCCATTATCTTGTCTGTATTCAATTATATTTTTGCTTTATTTATTTAGGTTTCTAATAAATTATCAGCTAAAACATAAAAATGGCTTTTATATTTTATCCTCAAATATAACATATTTAGACTATTCATATAATATCTTCAGAACAGCTAGCTTTGTTTGCTTAAGGCATGCCCATCATTATTTTTCCAATCCACAACCTGGTTTCACACCAATCTCTTTGATGCTAGTTTCATTAGCTCTTTACTATTAGTTGTACTTATTCTCCCACCTTTTTCTGACCTCCAATTTCCTCTTCACGTTTACTTTCTTTGCATTATTTGAGATAAGCTGTGGATCTCAGCTCATTTATTCAGTGTAGTGGCTCATTCAGGTTCTAAATAAATGGGTAAAACTAAAATACAAAATAATGATTTGTTAAAAATAACAATGTATCTTGGAATTTACTCTATTACTGGCATTAAAAATCAGGTAACAGTAGGCAAATAGCATAAAACAAAGTAGAAATGGTCTTAAGATATTGTAAATTCCTTGTTAAGATCTGATCTGGCATCTGAATAATATATATATATATATATATATATATATGAGTTAATTGTTCATATTGTAATCTTTAGTATAACTAACGATACTAAAAGATGATATAATTATGAGATAGAGAGGGGGAAATGATCTTAAAAGTTATTTAATTTATCCTAAAGAAGACTGGAAAATTCAGTGGAAGGAATAAAAAGCAAAGGAATAAATACTAGTATGGTAAATTTATATTCAAATATGTTAGACCAAATATAATGAGGGTAGATATTTCAGTTAAAATAATAATTATTAAAATAAATATTTAAAAAGAAGTATAAGAAAATGCAGTAAAGACACATCAAGTAAATGAAAAGTGGTAGAAATCAGATGTCCTATATTTCTAGACTGAATTCAAAAATTCTGAATGTGGGATTATTTTAATTGTGCCTGGAGATCTGTCTCAAATATATATTTTCATATAAGTTGAAAATTTTTTTCTGAATAATTCTATATTACATCATCGAGTTAGAGCTTATGTTCTTGTTCCTCTTCAATATTTTTTATTCTATAAGTAATACTTCAACTTTTTTTATCAATTATGTTTATTGAAGTAAAATTGGTTTATATGACTGCATCTGCTTTCTGGATTAAAAAAAAACACACAAATCTCTAAAAATGCATGTTTTTGTCCACCACCAATTCCCCGATAACACTCCAACATATTCCATTAGGCCCCCATCATTCCTCATTCTCTACCCCCTATAGAACCCCCTCCCCCCACCCTGCAGTCAAATGTCAAGGGTTTGTTATTAGTTGGGTTTGACTTACCCTTTGCTACAAGGAAATATAAATAAAATCTACAAGGAGATACCATCTCACACCCATGAGACTGGCCCATATCAAAAGGACTAGAAACAAAAAGTGTTGGAAATGGAGGGAAAAAGGGAACTCTTGAAAACTGTTGATGAGAATGTAGACTGGTTCATGGAAAATAATACGGAAATTTCTCAAAATAGTAAAATAGTCCTACCACATGACCCAGCAATTCAACTCCTAGGTATCTACATAAACACTAATTTGAAGGGATATATGCACTCCTCTGTTCATTGCAGCCCTATTTACCATAGCTAAGTAGCTAAGTTATGGAAACAATCCAAGTGCCCAAGGGTAGATGAGTGGGTCAGAAATATGTGGTGTGTACATATATGTATATGCATGTATATATATACACATACATACATATACAAGGTGGAATACAACTCAGCTATATTAAAAAAGATGAACTACTGCCATTTGTGACAATACAGATGGAACTGCCAAGCTAAGTAAGACAGGAGGAAGACAGATACTGGATGGTTGCACTTATACATCCTTCATAATTTTTTTTTTTTAAATATTAAATTTTATTTTTATATTCCCCCATACAATTGCAAACGCCCCATTCTGACCCCAATCCTTCCCCTCCCGCCCCCCACCCCCCAAAAAGTGTCTCTGGTTCATAGTTTTTTGTTGATTTTGATTTTCACTTTCTTATATTCATTTTCCTGGTCCCTTATTTAAGTTTTCTAAATTCCTGCTATGAGTGAGACCATCCGGTATTTTTCTTTTTCTTTTTGGCTTATTTCGCTGAGCATGATCCCTTCCAGTGCCATCCATGTTGCTGCAAATTGCATGTGTTTATCTTTTTTGAATGCTGAGTAATATTCCATGGTATATATGTACCACATCTTCTTGATCCAGTCATCTATTTTTGGGCATTTGGGTTGTTTCCAAAGCTTAGCTATTGTAAACAGTGCTGCTATAAACATAGGAGTGCAGGTGCTCTTTGGAATTGATGTTTCTGTGTCCTTTGGGTAAATACCTAGGAGTGGAATTGCTGGATCATATGGAAGCTCTATGTTTAGTAGGTCCAGAAATCTCCACACAGCTCTCCATAGTGGTTGGACCAGTTTGCACTCCCACCAACAGTGCACAAGAGTTCCTTTTTCTCCACATCCTCGCCAACATTTGTTGTTGCTAGTTTTTTTAATATGTGCCATTCTCACTGGTGTGAGATGGTATCTCATGGTAGTTTTGATTTGCATTTCCCTGATTACAAGTGATGTTGAACATTTTTTCATATGTCTGTTGGCCATTTGCATTTCCTCTTCAGAGAAGTTTCTTTTTAGCTCTTCTGCCCATTTTTTGACTGGATTATTTTCTTTGTTGTTGCTGAGTCTCATCAGCTCTTTGCAGATTTTTGTGATCAGTCCTTTATCATTAGTGTTGGGTGCAAAAATGTTCTCCCAGTTGGTGGGGTTTCTCTTTGTTTTTGTTATTGTCTCTTTTGCTGTGCAGAAGCTCTTTAATTTGATGTAGTCCCAGCTGTTTATCTTTCTCTTCACTATCACTGCTTTGGGTGATGTGTCTGTAAAGATGTCTTTGATGTGCAAATCCCGTAGTGTTTCGCCTATATTTCCTTCTATGTATTTTATGGTTTCAGGTCTTATGTCTAGTTCTTTAATCCATTTTGAGTTGATTTTTGTGTATGGTGTGAGGTAGTGGTCAAGCTTCATTCTTTTGCATGTAGCGACCCAGTTTTCCCAGCACCATTTATTGAACAAACTTTCTTTGCTCCAATGCATAGTCTTTGCTCCTTTGTCAAAGATTAGTTGACCATAAATCTGTGGGTTTATTTCTGGATTTTCTATTCGATTCCATTGGTCTGTATGTCTGTTCTTGTTCCAATACCATGCAGTTTTGATGATTATGGCTTTGTAGTAGAGTTTGAAGTCTGGGAGTGTGATGCCTCCATTTCCTTCTTTTTTTTTCAGTAGAGCTTTGGCTATTCGGGGTTTTTGGTGATTCCATATGAATTTCATCAATAATTGTTCTATTTCTTTGAAGAATGCCATTGAGATTTTGATTGGATAGCATTGAATCTGCATATTGCTTTTGGTAGGATGGCCATTTTAATAATGTTTATTCTTCCAATCCATGAGCAGGGGATGTCTTTCCATTTCTTTGTGTCTTCTTCTATTTCTTTTAACAGTGTTTTATAGTTTTCTTTGTATAGGTCCTTTACCTCTTTTGTTAGATTTATTCCCAAATATTTGATTTTTTTTGTTTCGATAATAAAAGGGGTGGTTTTTTTGATTTCTTCTTCTTCAGATTTATTGTTTGTGTATAGGAAGGCTACTGACTTTTGCATGTTGATTTTGTATCCTGCCACTTTACTGAATTGATTGATGAGTTGAATTAGTTTTTCTGTGGAGATTTTAGGGTTCTCTATGTATATTATCATATCATCTGCAAATAGTGATAGTTTGACTTCTTCTTTTCCTATTTGGATTCCTTGGATGTCTTTCTCTTGTCTTATTGCTCTGGCTAGGACTTCCAGTATTATATTGAAAAGCAGTGGTGAGAGTGGACATCCTTGTCTTGTTCCAGATCTTAATGGAATTGCTTTCAGCTTTTCACCATTGAGAATGATACTGGCTGTTGGCTTGTCATAGATGGCCTTTATGATGTTGAGGTATGTTCTTGTATCCCAAGAATTTCAAGGGCTTTTATCATGAATGGGTGTTGCACTTTGTCGAAAGCTTTCTCAGCATCTATTGATATTATCATATGGTTTTTATATTTCTTTTTGTTGATGTGTTGGATAACGTTGATTGATTTTCGGATGTTAAACCATCCTTGTGCCCCTGGAATGAATCCAACTTGGTCGTGGTGAATTATCTTATGGATACATTGTTGGATTCTGATAGCTAAAATTTTATTGAGGATTTTTGCATCAGTGTTCATTAGGGAGATTGGCCTATAGTTTTCCTTTTTTGTGTTGTCCTTATTCGGTTTTGGTATTAGTGTAATATTGGCTTCATAGAACGTGTTTGGTATTGTCCCTTCCTTCTCAATTTTTTGGAAGAGTTTGTGAAGGATAGGCACTAATTCGTCTCTGAATGTTTGGTAGAATTCATTTGTAAATCCATCAGGTCCTGGGCTTTTGTTTTTGGGGAGGTTTTTAATTACCATTTCAATTTCGCTGCTTGTAATTGGTCTGTTTAGGTGTTCTATTTCTTCTTTATCTAGCTTTGGGTGATTGTAGAGTTGTAGGAATTTGTCCATCTCCTCTAGATTGTTGAACTTGTTTCCATATAACTCTTCATAGTAGTTACTGATTATTCTTTTGATTTCTGCTGTGTCCGTTGTGATTTCTCCTCTTTCATTTATGATTCTGTGTATTGTGCTTTCTCCCTTTTTTCCTTTGTGAGCCTGGCTAGGGGCTGTCTATTTTTATTTATTTTTCAAAGAACCAGCTCTTGGTTTCATTGATCTTTTGGATTGTTTTTTAGTTTCAATTTCATTTATTTCTGCTTTGGTTTTTATTATTTCTTTCTTCTACTGGTTCTGGGGTTTTTTTGTTGTTCTTTTCTAGATCTTTGAGCTTCGAGATTAGGTTGTTTCTTTGAGTTCTTTCTTGTTTTTTGATGTGAGCTTCTATTGCTATATATTTTCCTCTTATTACTGCTTTTGCTGCATCCCATACATTTAGGATATTGGTGTCCTCCTTGTCATTCAATTCAAAGAATTTTTTAATTTCTTCTTTGATCTCCTTGTTAGTCCAGTGGTCTTCCAGTAGTGTGGCTTTTAATCTCCATGAGGTAGGATAGTTCCTTGCCTTCTTTTTATGATTTATTTCTAGTTTGATGCCTTCGTGGTCAGAAAAGATGGTTGGTATGATTTCAATCTTGGTGTATCTGTTGATGTTTGTCTTGTGCCCCAGTATGTGATCGATCCTGGAGAATGATCCGTGTGCGCTTGAGAAAAATGTGTACTCCGTTTTTTTTGGGTTTAGTGTTCTATAGATGTCTGTTAAGCCCAAATGCTCTAGGTCCT